AATACTTTCCAAAGATCTTTACATTTGTCCATGCATGATCTTTGTCTGAAAGCTCATGGGTTGCAGGAGTTGTCATAGGAGGTTATATTTTTGTCCTTCCAACTGTTATGGAAATTACAGGGGGGGGACATCTTTAAAGTTGTTAAATGTTGCAAATATTATGCCTGAATGTACCCTTTCAACTTGACAGCTCACGGAAGTTACCTAGATAAAATCCTGTAACACAATGTATCAGCCTTAATCATTTTGCAGATGTTAAGGGGGGGGGGGCAGAGCCTGCAGCCACCATCCCTTTCCGGTGGGGAGGGGGCAGAGGAAAGACAGGAAGCTTTTCCCTGCAGAGTTAGACCCCTTGGCTGCGTGGCCCTCGGGTCCCTTCAAACTCCTGGGCGTTTTGCTGGTGGGGGGCTGTGTGGGGGCCTGGGCGATGTCAGAAGAGGAAGCTTGCAGGCCTGGTTGTCTGTTGGGGGCAGCAGGAAGAGGCGGAGGGCAGGATGTGCAGCCCCTGCCTGGCTTTCCTGTGGGACCAAGGAAGCGGCTGGGGGGGGGACTTGGCCGCTGGCCTTTGTTGCGGAGGCGGCAGTGTGGGAACGCCAGTCCCAAGGGCAGCCTCTGGGGTCTGGGTGCTGCTGCCTGTCTCCTGCCATGGACTTGGCGGGGGGGGGCTGTGCTATTGGGCTGGCAGAGACTTAACGGGGGCTGCCTCTCCCAGCCAAAGCTGACCCACAAAATTGCAACCCAGTGTGTGTGTTTGTGTGCGTGGGGAACCAGCCTGCACAGGGTAAGCCCCGATGGGGCTCCTGGGCTCCTTCTGATGCATGAAAATTGGAGGTTGTCCTTTACAGCTCAGCTCCCCAAGGGGCTCAAAGCCTCCCAAGTCCATTATCAGTCGGAGACGAATGAGTGGAAGCTGGAAGAAAGGGGGAGTCTTTATTTTTCTGTTGAAACAGAGCCCTCCTTCCCACTGACATTTGCAAGGAGGGGAGGACCCCAAACAAAGGTGTGCAGCAGCTTTGAAAGACTTTTCCGGCTCAACATCAGGAAGAGCTTTCTGACAATAAGAGCTGTTCAGACGGTCTCTGCTCCCTGGGAGAGGCTAGGTGGCCATCTGTCAGGGATGCTTGAGCTAAGATTCCTGCATTGCAGGGGGCTGGACTAGATGACCTTGGGGTCCCTTCTGTCTCTATGATTCTATGATTAGCATAATACAAGCATCTCAGGAAGAGGCATCTACCAACAGAAATCCAAGAGTGTGGCTTCTCTCCTGTCTGTCAAGGGACCTGCAGATGCTGATTGCCTTACTTGGCCAGTTCCTTAGGACTGGTACATACAGTCATACCTCGGGTTACAGATGCTTCAGCTTAAGCATTTTCAGGTTATGGATGCACTGAAACCCAGAAGTACCGGAATGGGTTACTTCCAGGGTTCGGCACTTGTGCATGAGCAGAAGCGCTAAATCACAACCTGTGTGTGCGCAGACGCAGCAATGTGAGTTGCGAACACTGCGGGTTGCGAACGTGCCTCCCACATGGATCACGTTCGCAACCCGAGCGTCCACTGTACCTTGGTTCTCGAACAGAATGCGTTCCGGGAGTCCATTCGACTCCCGGAACCATTTGAAAACCAGAGTGCGGCTTCTGCCAGAGGAGCCCCCTGCAGCCAATTGGAAGCCGCACCGGATGTTCGCCCTCCAAAAATCATTTGAAAACCAGAACACTCACTTCCGGGTTTCGATTGTTCAGAAGCCGATTTGTTTGGGAGCCAAGGTGCTCGGCTTCTCAGGTACAACCGAACCTGAGTCCTTGGGGGCGCCGCCTCCCCGGGCGGGAACGCTGCGGGTGCACGAGGGAGGAGGGCGGCCCCCGGGGGCTGGGAGAGCCAGGCTGCCGTGGCCGAGAGGGCTGCTCTGCCGGGCGCCGCTGACATTGGAACTTAGAAAACTTCCCGGGGCAGGACCCCGGTATGGGCCCCCCCCAATATTTTTTATAAGTCGGCGCCCCTGGCTATGAGGTAGGTGAAAACCAAATGGCCAGTGCCAATTTCCCAAGTGGAAAAATTCCTGCCTGGCCCTGAATATGGCAGCTGATGTGGTCCATAGCAAGGTCAAAGTGTAAACTGAAGCAAAATTAAAGAGTGGGAGATCTGGTGAAAGAAGGCAGAGTGAGGAGAGCCAGGCTTGGCTGCAATTTAACCCCCCAGATGGTGCTGATTGGCTGCCTGGGCCCACCTCTGGGATAGCCCACCCAAAACCTGCTGGCACTGTCCAGTCGTGAGCAGGCAGGCCGTGCAACCCTTGCCATTCGCCGGATCACCGCTGGGCCCATGCTTGGGCCATAACACTGCCTACCAGCTAAGGTGAGCAGATTTCTCCTGGCGCTGCATTCAGGTCTGCATTCAAGTCTCTACTGCAGGATGTTGTGGGTGTACTTTCTCTAGTGAAAGCATCAGTCTAACAAATCTTATTCCTAGTCCATGGTATCAGGAAAACAAACAAACAAGGAATCTGTGGCACTTCTAAAGGCAAACTGTATTTATTCTTTTTTTCTTTTTTAAAGTTAAAGTTTTCGTAAGCCAGTACTTCCTCAGATGCATGAGTGATGAATCAGGCTGGGTAGATTTCAATTACAGAGCTTAAAGCCACTAAGAACAAGCTCAAAAGAGCTTAGCTTCAACATGGCGTATGACTAAAAAGAATAACCCAAAAATAGAAATAGACTGGAAAGAGAAGTTGCTGAATTGCAGCTTACTGTATTACCAAACTTAAAACCATGGAGAGACCTGGTCTGAATAGTGACATTGGATTCTTATCTCATTATACACAATAAAGCTATTTTTAGCCATCTCACCCCTTGCTTTTTCTTGTAAGACCAAATTGCAGTCGTTAACAGTGGTCAACAGGTTTGCCACACCTATCAGCTAATCACCCATTCCCACCACCCTTCTGAGTAATACCCCTCCCCACCCTCACACTATATATAAGGGTCTGGTGACTTCTGTTTCAGTGTATCTGAAGAAGTGTGCATGCACATGAAAGCTCATACCAATAACAAACTTAGTTGGTCTCTAAGGTGCTACTGGAAGGAATATTTTTTTTTGTTCCAAAAATAGTTTGTTTATGATGGTCTGTTTCTTTTTATTGAGAAATCTGTTGTCATCTTTTGGAACTCTCTCCCCCCCTCTCTCTCTGGAGGTAGGCTCTGATCTACAAAAGCTTACAGTAATATAAACAGTCATTAAAATCACATAGTGTCTGCTTTTTTCCATGGTGATTGAGACACACCCAACCCCTCAACTGTAATAAAATTGTTATCGTCCCTGTGAAATAAGTTAAATATTTTGTTTATATTTAAAATGTGAGAACAGATATGATAGCTATCTTCAAATATCTTGAGGGCTGTCACATGGAAGAGGGAACAAGCTTTTTTCTCTCCTGCTCTGGAGGGTAGGGCTCAAACTAATGGATTCAAGTTACAAGAAAGGAGATTCTGACTAAACATCAGGAAGAAGTTTCTGATAGTAAGAGTTGTTCGACAGTGGAAGAGACTCCCTTGGGAGGTGGTGGACTCTCCTTCCTTGGAGGTTTTTAAGCAGAGGTTGGGTGGCCATCTGTCATGGATGCTGTAGTTGACATTCCTGCATTACAGGGGATTGGACTGGGTGGCCCTTGGGTCCCTTCCAATTCTAAGATTCTACGATTCTATAATATTATGGAGGCTTTTGACTTACCTAGTTCAGACTGCTTTTCAGTTTTCAGTCTGTTGGGCCCTACTGAGGCCTTGCAGTCTCTTTCTCCACATAAAGGGGATGGAGTCAGGCAGAGCTGGCACATCCGGTTTTGCCGCTTGAGGCATAACGGATCGAGCTGCCCCACCCTGCCACCACTTTACCACCCGACTTGCCTCCACTGCTGGTGAAGAGGCACTGCCAGCATTGGTGCAGATTTCCAGCGACATCTTGACAAAATCCCGTGAGATCTCACCAGAAATCAGCACCGATGCTGCCGCCACTTCACCAGCGATTGAGGCGGCAGGGTGGGCAGGGGGGCATTGCCTTGCCTCTGGGACTTCCGACGCCCAAGACGGTGTCACCACTCTGCCTCATTGGTGGGCCAGGCCTGGAGCCAAGTTTAAGGGCCAAGCCATCTTGTGAGGCAGAGTATAAATTCTTAATAAACAAGCAGATAAACAAATACTGGAAAGCAGAATCGGTGCCCCTGGATGACCATGGAAATTGTAGTATGACACAACAGAGAGATGGGGTAGTACTGTGCTGCTGCAGCTGCTGTTCTAACCAAGTTCATTATGCGAGTCTAACAATATGCTTCTTAACAAAATTAAAAAATTCCTTCCAGTAGCACCTTAGAAACCAACTAAGTTTGTTATTGGTATGAGCTTTCATGCACACTTAGTAGTATGCTGCCTGGGGGTGGGGCTGAGCTCCCTGAGGGAAATTCAAGGGTGGATATGCAGCCCCCCCTGAAATTTACACCTGTGATTTGGAATATAGTTTATAACGTTGAATGCAAAGACCTCATATATACTTTATAGAAACATCATATATACTTTATAAACATAATAAAAATTTCAGAATATTCCTGCACAAATTTGGCCCCGTGATAGACCACAGTTGGCTGATGACAGCCTTCCATGTTATTCTCTTCCCTTCAATTATTACAGTTCCACATACTATAATTAACCATACTGGTGGTGCAATAAAAATAAATGGTTCACATTGAATTAATTCCTGGAAGGCTTAATTCCAACACTATTATTATATGGTCTCAGACCATTAGCCTTATTGTCCTGTATAAAAGGGTGTTGCAAGTATATGTCTATGTAAATTAAAAGCCAACAGAGAAGGAGCATCCTACACAGCCAGAAGTGCTAGACGGAGACAAGTGACAGAGTGAGAGAGAGAAGGCAGGGAAATGTTTGGCATACGGTTATTTTTGATTGCTCTGCTGGTGGGTCTTTTGATTCTATACTTCCTGAAACAGCTCTGGTGGTCACGCAGACGCTTCCCTCCAGGGCCCCTTCCACTTCCTGCCATTGGAAGCATGTGGCGGACTGCGATCAGGCTCTATCAAGAGACATTCGCTAAGGTACTTCTTTCTAAATAATTGGCTGAGAAGGAGAATTCATGAAGCGAAGCATGAATTATTTTCTTCTCATAGTAACTGTGGTTAACTATGGTCTTTGTGAAATCTTCTGGCATGGATTGTACATGGGAAATCAGTATGTGATATCTAGGAGACTAAGGGTGCAGTCTTCCAGGACGTGGCGGATGTTCAAAGGCAGTTAGTTTAAGCACTCATGTTATTTTCACACTAACCCTGCGGTTGGGCTGAGAGCTAGAGACTAGCCCAAGGTCACTCAGTGAGCTCTGGGGCAGAATTGTGCTTTCTATCTGCTTCTCCCCAATCCAACACTCTGCCCATTGGAAAGTCATCAAAGAAAAGCATCTCGCCAGGGCTGGGTACTCTAACGAATTTAACCTGAAAGGCATTTTGAAAGAGTCTGGCACACTCAAGAACTGACTTCTTGTTAGCATCTTTGAGTTACAGAAAGACCTCTGAAGTGTCCTCAGAGGCCAGTGCACTCTCACACACTTGTGGGTAGATTCAGGGACAGAAAATCTGATAGCTTAGTTCAGACTGGAGAATAAATAGGCTGCTTCTTTTTTCAGCTGCCCAGATAAAAAGTGAAATGCGCAAATACCGGTACTTTAAAATCCGATTCACAGTATGAATGACCAATGCCAAATGGGCAAACCCCCTCTTGCTCAAAAAATGTAAAGGTACAGGAAAGGTTAGCTATGTAGGCATGCTAGGATTGAAACATGAGGTTGTACAATGAGAGTAGCTCAGAAAACTTTACAATGAAACATGAGGTTGTACAATGAGAGTGGCTCAGAAAACTCAGAAGAGGGAAGAAAAAAGCTAAGCAATTTATCAGGAGCTAGTGATCAGTGTGTTTGTTTCAACTCAGAAGCATATCCAGTGGAGCCACAACGATGTGTTCCCTTTAACTTCCAGCTAGGAGGCATATAAGCTCATAAACACATGTGCTGATGCATTTATCTGTTTCAAAATGTTGCTGCACCAGCATTACTCAAGCAGCTGCTAGCAGTTGGCCCCAAAGGGAGATGGATTACCAGTTAGTGATGTTACCAGGCACACCCATTAGAAACCTACCACACAGCTGGCTGAAACATCAAATGTGTTACCAAAGTAGGCGGCATAAAACAAAGAGCAGAGGCATCTCTGAGTGCTGTCCCATCTGTTTGCAACATCACTTTATGCATGATAAAGTATACCCTAGATGCTGCTATGCCATCAAACCAAGTCTTCATACTTCTCCTTTCAGCAGATCCTCTGGCACAGCTCACGAGCTCTTCTTAATGAATATATTCACACTTTATGTTGTTGTTCCCTCCCCTCAGTTAGTACTTCCCCACACTCCCTGAATTCTAGAAACCTGAGGTCCCTTTTAGGCATGTATGCAGGTAGCTGATTACCTGTGCACAGACCTTTTTTATGAAGGGGGGGGCAGGAGATGCAAGTTTTCTGATATATCAGACTTGCGCAAAACAGTATGCTAAAAAGCAGTGTGTGTCTCGCTTGGCCCCACCAGTAGCCCACCCTCCTTCAGTTCTGGAAACCTGAGGTCCATTGTGGGCATGTACACATGGATTTGTTCACCTGTGTGTACACAGACAGCCCCCCCCGAGATAGTTTTCTGATATACCAGGCTTGTACAAAACAGTGGTTTGAAGGGGGAAATGTGGGGAAATGGCCAGCAGCCCACAGAGGAATGTCTTGTTAGCAAAAGTAGGGGAATGTGATGATTAGGGATGGAGGGGAAATTCAAATTATTTAAAGAGCAGCCAGACAACTTCACGACTTACTAGCAGTCCAGGTACAGTGGTGCCTTGCAAGATGAAATTAATTCGTTCCGCGAGTTTTTTCGTCTTGCGAAGCACGGTTTCGGAAAAGTTTTGGAAAAGCCTCAAAAATCACCAAAGTCTTCAAAAACCTTAAAAAAGGCTACCACACTGCGTGCTATGAGTTGCTCCTCGAAGTCAAGTCGCAACTGTATTAACGGTTTTAAGAAAAAGGAAACAAACTTGCAAGACGTTTCCGTCTTGCGAAGCAAGCCCATAGGGAAAATCGTCTTGTGAAGCAACCCAAAAAACCAAAACCCCTTTCGTCTTGTGAGTTTTCCGTCTTGTAAGGCATTTGTCTTGCGAGGTACCACTGTATACAGGTAGTGATAGGAGTGGCTGGATGGATCAGGCAAAAGTGGGGCCAGTGGGGCCAGGCAAAAAGAAGAGTTGCTGTCTACGTCGCCTCCAGATTTGAAGCACTTAGGTGTGGCTGCCTCGTTCTCAAACAATCTCTGGAAGCCCTGGGTGAAGGGATGAGGTCAAACAGACTGAAGCTGAATTGAGAAGTTGGAGGTGATACTCCATGCCAAGTGAGACAATGCTCATATTCCAAGTTAGATTTCAAGCCCGGGCACAACTGAAGCGAATTGATTACTGGTATATCCCTTCATTTTGCTGTGTCTTTTAATGCTATGGGAGCAACTACATTCTTTGCGAGCAGCTCCAACTGGAACAACTTGTAATTTGCTGTAACCCTGAATGTCTTGGAATAGGAGTACTACGCAACTGCAAACAAGCAGCTCGATGTTTACATCACATGATGTGGCTAGCCCTGGGAAAGGATGTACCAGGCAGTTCACAGGGCGGTTCACAGGGATTTGTTCTTTGTGTAATATGAGACCTTCCTGTTGCTTTGTGAAGGAAGTCTCTCGCAGTTGCTCGGAGGAGACTGAACTGATCGGACATGTTTTGTACAATTGTACAGTCAGAAATAAACCGTAGATGAAACAGACTTTCTTCTTTCTCCTGCTGGTATGCATTCTCCTGCTGGTGTGCATCTTCCACGCAGGGAGATGTCGCCTATCAAGATCTTCCTGGACTGCAGGGAAGCCAGCCAGGGTAGATCACCGGTAAACAAGCCCCGGGAGCCGGGGAGAGGGGCCAGCCTCTCCCGAGGGGGCAAGTTTTCCAACAGAATGTTGCTGCAATCATTCTTCCTTCTGGTTTTATTTCCATTTCCATTGGCTGAGATGGCAGGACATCCAGAACTGGGATCATCAGTGTGTTGTTGTTGTTGTTATAACTAATAGGAGTGTGCCAGATTTAGATTGGATCACAGTTTGATTCGATTTGATTTCCACTTCCCAATCTACTATTTGCCTACTTGTGCGAATTAAACAAATACAAATGGTTGCCATATATTTTGGCCTTTGCGGCAAATCTGCTTTAGAAAGGTATGATCTGAATTTGTTAAAAACAACCACCACCAAACATGAATTTTTCCACCGTTTCATCTTATTCTGCCTTCCTGTTAAAAACACCCAGCCCACATTAACAGACCAGCAGGTTAGCAGACACAATAAGGATATGAAAACTTGGGGCAGTTGTCCATGGAAGAGCCTTTGCTTTTTGAATAAAGCCATGCAGAAACTGACAATAACCTTGCAAGCGTATGATGGAACAGGCCTACAAGCATGCATGGATATGCACTGTATCAAAAATCAGATTACCATTATGTATCCTACTTTGGTGCCATGAACAAAGAGAACTGGATATAACCAGAAGACAAAGACTAGGTGAGAGAACCTGAAGTTCACAAATTAACCTGAAAGAACTGTGTGACTAATGTCTCTCCTCTCTTTTTATCCAAATGGCAGCGGACAAAACAAAATGGAAACACGGAGCGACCTGTGATGCCTTTCCTTAGAGCTGTAGCAAATGAAAAGGGTAAGTTGTTCCAAGGAAGAAGTCTACTGGTCTTCTCTCCAGAGACATCTTAAGAGAGGAGTTCCCAAGTGTTAAAATGTAAGACCTGAGCCTTCCTGATGTTCTGTTGAAGGTTGTAAGAGGTTTAATTGCAAGGTATAAGTAGTAGTCATCATACCTGCTAAATATTAAAAGTAATTATTTGGGGTTCATTTATAAAGGGCATGACCCAAATACAAAAGTGGGTCATGACCTACAAGTTGGGAAATGCTTCCTTAAGCCAGTCCTGTGATAGAATCCCTAACAACTGAAGGGTTTTTTTTTTGTTTATATTCCACCCATAATCAGAAGATCTCAGGGCAGGTCACAATCAGCTACAATATCAATTAAACAACAAAAATAATAACACCCAGCCCAAAATCGTGAACATTTCTTAGCTGAATATTAGTTACCAAAAACCTTCACAAAAAGCCATGTTTTCTACTGGCATCTGAGTGAGAGCAACACAAAAGGGAGTTGAATTTCATGGGCTAGGGAGCTGAGGATCTCGAGCGCCAACACACAGAAAGCCCACCCATGCCTTATTTCCAAAGGTATCGTACCTTTGGTTGGAATGCTGAGGATGGCTCCCCAGGAGGTCTTAATTCAAGGGCAGGACTATACAGAGAAAGGTCTCTAGATTATTCAATGCTTTCTAGATTATTCATAACACCTGGCTTTTGGATCAGATATGTTTTGGTAGCCAATGCAATTCTTTCACAACAGATGTAACATGGCTCTGACTAGTTTATTATAATTTATAAAAAATTATTAATATAGTGACTCCTAGCCAAGCTGCCTATTTCACTAGCTGCAATTTCCAAGCAGATCTCACTGCAGTGATCCAAACAGGAGGTTGTCAGAGCATGCATTTCTGTGGCTAGTCTTGTTTGAGGAACATCTATAGCTGCCAAACAAACCAGGGCTGGGGGAAGACACTGTGCCCCCTGAGATCCTTGGGTTTCCAGTGACGAGACAAGGTCCAATAGTTACTTTCGTAACTTGCAAGTCAAGTGCAGCTAGGGTGAGAATCCTGCAAGTGACGCCACAGTCATCACCAGATGCATGCTTTCCAAATTATAATTTCAAAACGAAAGCCAGGTGAATCCCCACAGGTGAATGTTGCAGCCTTGGTGGTAGACATTGACAGCAGAAATCAAGGTGCAGCTGAGGACTGTATCTACTTTGTTTAGAACAGCTAGTCCTTATGCCATAAACTTTGCTAACCATCGTCTCCACAAATGGCAGAGAGTTTTGGGTCTTTGTATTCCGTGAATAGTTGGCTTGAATATTGTATCTCTAAGAGGCATTTCATACAATGCTTTTAATGGTCTCAGATCTTGTATTTTCCAATGAACGCATCTGGAAGCAGCAGAGACAGATTGGGCAGTCTGTTATGAAGAAGCTGGCGATGAGGAAGCAAGGGTTGGAGCACTATATAAAAGAGGAGGCCCATCAGCTTGTGGGTACCTTTGCCCGTGTAAAAGGTATGTGATACTACTAGATGATTTTATTTGTTCATATGAGTACAGTTGTTCCTTTTATCTCTTGATTCCCTACTTTAGCATTCCAATCCCCTATAATGAGAAGAACATCCTTCTTTGGTGTCACTTCTATAAGGTCTTGTAAGTCTTCATAGAATTGGTCAATTTCAGTTTCTTCAGCACCAGTAGTTGGTGCATAAACTTGGATCACTGTGATGTTAAAAGGTCTGGCTTGGATTCGTATTGAGATCATTCTATCATTTTTGAGATTGCATCCCAGTACAGCTTTCGCCACTCTTTTGTTGACTATGAGGGCCACTCCATTTCTTTTACGGGTTTCTTGCCCACAGTAGTAGATGTGAGGTCATCCGAACTGAATTCGCCCATTCCCGTCCATTTTACAGTGGTGCCTCGCAAGACGAAATTAATTCGTTCCGCGAGTTTTGTCGTCTTGCGATTTTTTTCGTCTTGCGAAGCACGGTGTCGGGAAAGTTTTGGGAAAGCTTCAAAAATCACCAAAGTCTTCAAAAACCTCAAAAAAGGCTACCACACTGCGTGCTATGAGTTGCTCCTCGAAGTCAAGTCGCAACTGTATTAACGGTGTTAAGAAAAAGGAAACAAACTTGCAAGACGTTTCCGTCTTGCGAAGCAAGCCCATAGGGAAAATTGTCTTGCGAAGCAGCTCAAAAAACAAAAAACCCTTTCGTCTAGCGAGTTTTCTGTCTTGCGAGGCATTCGTCTTGCGAGGTACCACTGTATTTATATTAACACCACCCTCGCAAAAAGTGTCAGGGCAGTGTACAGCAATATAAAACCATTAAAACCACATTAAAATGACTAGCATGATTATAATAATCATAAAAATGATTATGCTGGCAGATATCTTAGTCTCCAGGTTTTGCTTTGTTTCCTTTGCAATCTATGCATATTTTGGAGCAGAATTTGATGCATTTTAGTTGCTTTTTAATATGTTAAGAAAATTGCTTCTTTAGTCTCACTATGAAATTTTTACTCTTAGTATTATCATGAGAACAGGATTGATGTCTTCACTTCATATAGCTGCAAAAATCTTCACTTGCAGGGCAGCCATTTGACCCTTTGTTACCCATCACTAATTCAGTGTGCAATGTGGTATGCGCTATGGCTTTTGGACATCGGTATTCTGCTGAAGACGAAAATTTCCAGAAGCTTACTGAAGCTATTGATCTTGCCTTAAAATGTGGAGGTAGCTTCATTTATGCTGTAAGTAGACTTTTTCTTTCCAGCTGAGTCACACAGGTGTCCCCAGAGCCCTAGCCTCCTGCTAGCATTCAGAGAGACACTGTGGTTGGTCACAGATGAAGGGAACCTGACCTGAAATGCCCCTTGGGACAAACACTATTCATCAGTCTAACCCATTTCACAGAGATATTATGAAAAAAGTGGAGAGCCATACACTAGGTTCTTTCAAGGAAAGATGGGGTTAATTTTAACTAATGATCATTCTTAGGCTACGTACGCATTCCAGTTTCTCCTTCATGGATCACTGCCTTGCCGTGGCGAAGGGGCTTGAACAACTCAGAGAAGCTATGAGCTATGCTGTGCAGGGCCACCCAAGATGGACAGGTCATAGTGGAAAGTTTTGACCAAACGTGATCCACCTGTAGTAGGAATCGGCAAGCCACTCCAGTATCCCTGCCAAGAAAACTCCCTGGACAAAGACAACAGGCATATAAAAGTTATGACGCTGGAAGATGAGCCCCTCAGGTCAGAAGGCGTCCAACATGCTACTGAGGAAGAGCAGAGGACAAGTACAAGTAGATTCAGAGCTGATGAAACAGCTGGGCCAAAGCTGAAAGGACGCTCAGTTGTGGATATGCCTGGAAGCGAAAGGAAAGTCCAATGCTGTAAAGAAAAATATTGCATAGGAACCTGTAATGTAAGAACCATGAACCTTGGTAAGCTGGATGTGGTCAAAAATGAGACTGAAAAGGATATACCAAGAGCTCTGGCCACAAGTTTCAATATAAGGAATAATTCCTACTCAAGAGTTGAAAAGAAAAACGTGTGTATTCTGCTAAGAATAACAGTTAGAAACTAATAGTGAATTTAAACACAGCGTGTAAGTGCGATAGTTTTAAGGTACTAGTAAATTTAGATACAACGTTTAAGTACAAAAATAATGTAGTTTCAAATATGCAGTGATATAGTATAAAGGTACATAAAATACCAGTATACAACAATTGTTTTATACAAGTCTCAATGGCAGTCAAAAAGAGTCCATATTGTATAAAATCAGAATAAAGAATGAAGAATCAAATAGGGCCAAAAAGGAGTATCCGGAGTGTGAATCAGATGTACGACTCAGTAGTGGTGACCAGGACAGGGCCCTGTTTCGGAGTAAACGCCTTCTTCAGCTGGTAATATCAAATAATATGTCAAAATAGATCAAGATTCTTCAATATCATAGATCATAAATATAATAAAGTATATACATTCTAGAGTGTATTAACACATATCATGATATTTGGTTCCATACCTCGGTTTTTTGAGGACTATAACTGTTGGAAGTCTATATCATTTAATTCTTTTATGTTTCTTTTTCGACATGCGTCTAGAAATAAGAATTTACAAGAGTTATTATTTGCAGTCAAATTGTTTGTGAAAAACGGACATCAGATGAGTGTTTTCTCACCTTAGATAATTGAATCCAAGTTTTCTTGCGTTTCTCTGTGCGTTTTAAAAGCCCCTGGGAAAATATGCGATTTAAAAGCCCCTGGGAAGGCAGGCAGGGGGGACAAAGATTTTCGCCCCCCGCCTGCCTTCAGAAGAGATCCTGGACCTCTTCTGAAGGCGGGCGGGGGCGAAAGTCTTTGCTCCCCCCTGCCTGCCTTCCCGGGAGAGCGGAGAAAGGCAGCGCGTTTCTCCGCTGTCCCGGATGGCTTTTGAAGGCAGGCAGGGGGGAGCAAGGACTTTCGCCCCCCGCCCGCCTTCAGAAGAGGTCCTTGACCTCTTCTGAAGGCGGGCGGGGGCGAAAGTCTTTGCTCCCCCCTGCCTGCCTTCCCGGGAGAGCGGAGAAAGGCAGCGCGTTTCTCCGCTGTCCCGGACGGCTTTTGAAGGCAGGCGGGGGGGAGCAAAGATTTTCGCCCCCCGCCCGCCTTCAGAACAGGTCCTTGACCTCTTCTGAAGGTGGGCGGGGGGCGAAAGTCTTTGCTCCCCCCTGCCTGCCTTCCCGGGAGAGCGGAGAAAGGCAGCGCGTTTCTCCGCTGTCCCGGACGGCTTTTGAAGGCAGGCGGGGGGGGGGGAGCAAAGATTTTCGCCCCCTGCCCGCCTTCAGAAGAGGTCCTTGACCTCTTCTGAAGGCGGGCGGGGGGCGAAAGTCTTTACTCCCCCCTGCCTGCCTTCCCGGGAGAGCGGAGAAAGGCAGCGCGTTTCTCCGCTGTCCCGGACGGCTTTTGAAGGCAGGCGGGGGGGAGCAAAGATTTTCGCCCCCCGCCCGCCTTCAGAACAGGTCCTTGACCTCTTCTGAAGGTGGGCGGGGGGCGAAAGTCTTTGCTCCCCCCTGCCTGCCTTCCCGGGAGAGCGGAGAAAGGCAGCGCGTTTCTCCGCTGTCCCGGACGGCTTTTGAAGGCAGGCGGGGGGGGGGGGGAGCAAAGATTTTCGCCCCCTGCCCGCCTTCAGAAGAGGTCCTTGACCTCTTCTGAAGGCGGGCGGGGGGCGAAAGTCTTTACTCCCCCCTGCCTGCCTTCCCGGGAGAGCGGAGAAAGGCAGCGCGTTTCTCCGCTGTCCCGGACGGCTTTTGAAGGCAGGCGGGGGGGAGCAAAGACTTTCGCCCCCCGCCCGCCTTCAGAAGAGGTCCTGGACCTCTTCTGAAGGCGGGCGGGGGGCGAAAGTCTTTGCTTCCCCCCCCTTCAAAAGCTGTCCTGGACAGGCTTCGCGGACCTCTCCGCAAGCAGCGGGAATGCTCCCGCTGCTTGCGGAGAGTTGCCAGCATGCCGAAGCCTGCGCGCGCTGAGATCAGCACGCCCAGGCTTCGCGGCCCCGCCGCCCGGCATCGGAGCTTGGTTCCAATGCCGGGCGGCGGGAGGAGGCGTCCCCGCCCCGCCGCCCGGCATCGGAGCTTCGTTCCGATGCCGGGCGGCGGGAGGAGGTCCGAGGACAGTGGGGAAGACGCGCTGCGCTTCCCCGCTGTCCCGGAGATTTCCCTATGGGCTTTCGTCTTGCGAAGCAAGCCCATAGGGAAATTTGTTTTGCGAAGCGCCTCCAAAACGGAAAACCCTTTCGTCTAGCGGGTTTTCCGTCTTGCGAGGCATTCGTCTTGCGGGGTACCACTGTAAATGGATTAGGTTCTCTGTATGTTCGTTAGACAGCCATAAAGATATTATGGGTTAGTGCTGGTACTGCCCAAATGCAATGGGAATCCTGTAGAATAAAATCCTGCTCTTATATATTATTAATAAATATAATTTGCATGTTTTGGGAAAGCCACAAATACCAGTGTTCCCACAACTACTATTGTACCAGAAATATGGGTGAGGGTGATTTGTTCCGATGTCAAATTTTCATTTACAACTTCTACTAGAGTAAGCTAGTGGATATGGGAATCAGAAAAAGGTGCTTCACTCACTGAGCTCCAAGATACCAGGATGCCAGCAGGTTAGGAAAGGCTGATTTCAACCATGATACCAAACAGGCGTCCAAAAGAAGTTGGGTCATGGAACATGTTACTGGGCTTCTTCATGGTAATTACTGGTTTTTGTTTTTATATTTTTCAAAGCTCCGTGAAATGTTCCCTTGGGTCCTGAAGCGTCTTCCAGGGCCACACAAGAAGGCTCTGTCCTCTAGGGAGTTTGTGCTTTTATTTGCAAAGGAGGAGATGAAGAAGCATAAAGAACATCATCTCCTACGTGAGCCACAGGATTTCACTGATTTCTATCTACTTCAAATGGAGAAAGTAAGTATCTGTTTTGTATGTGAACATGGTTAATTCAAAGAGCCATTACATTCCCTGCAAGGATTGTAAGGCAACCACCAGGATTTTCTGGGTTGCTGATAATATTTGCATTCAGTCCCCCCTCAATGGCACTTCCCAGAGATTATTGTTAGCTAGTAAAGTGGATTACAAACCCCACATGCGCATGCATTGAAAATAATGGGAAAAGAAATATTTTCGTATGTTTGATGGCAAATATGCTTGAATGGTCAAGGGCATTCAAATACATTCTTTGTGTAATTATGATATTTAAATAACTAAAGATTAGTCTCCTTTATTTCTTTTTTTTTTTTTTGGCTGCTTTATGACTTTATTAGCACACATTACAAGGTCCCTGTCAGAATTAGAGCTCCGTCTCATTCTCCCTTTTGAAGCAAGCACACTTGAAAATGTCAGGCACTCCCAACTATAGCAGCTTGCAGTGCTTATATATCTCTTTTTTAAATTTTTTTTATTCATTTTTCATTACCAGACGATGACAGGGAAAAAACAAACAAACAAACAAACAAACAAACAAACAAACAACATAAAAAGAAATAATGAGGTAACAGTCACATATCAAAAACAAATAAGACCCTCAACCAAATCCCAACCCCCAAACCAACCAACACACAAACATTACAAACAATTAACAATTGACTTCCCTCCATCTCGGTTTTGGGTTATATGTATATTAAATTCAATCTGCAGTTTTTCATTATAAAATATCTACGCGTCGCGAGAGTTATATTACACCCACTGTGATTTTTATATCTCTAGAATTTGTTTCTATATATGTTATAAATCTAGACCATTCATCAATAAACTTTCTCCCTTTTTGCTGTCTAATGTTCTGCGTCATTTTTGCCAACTCCATATACTCAAACAATTTGATTTGCCAATCCTTCACGGTCGGGATATTTGGGGTTTTCCAGTTTTGTGCTAGTAAAATCCTGGCAGCTACAGTTGCATATTGAAATATTACATAGTCCTCCTTTTTAATCTCCTCTCCTATCATTCCCAAAAGGAAAGCTTCGGGCTTTTTGACAAAGGTGTATTTAAATATTTTCTTTAATTCATTATAAATGGAATCCCAAAATTTCTTAACTTCTTCACATTTCCACCACATGTGATAGAAGCTTCCCTCTTTAGATTTACATTTCCAACACCTTCTGTCCCCGTTCTTGTACATTTTTTGCAGTTTCACGGGAGTAATGTACCAACGATACATCATCTTTTCCATATTTTCCCTAAGGGCGGTACAGGCTGTAAATTTCATTCCTTTAGTCCACAACTTTGTCCATTTTTCAAAATCCAAATTATATCCAATATCTATGGCCCACTTTACCATAACTTCTTTGACCTCTTCATCCTTGGTGTCCCAATCCAACAGTTGAGTATACATTTTAGATAGCAGTTTAGTTTTACTTTCTATTATTTCTACCTGGAATTTAGATTTTTTCTCATTCATTCCAATCTTTCTGTCTTCCTTCCATAGTGCATTAATTTGGTGGTACTGCAACCAACCTGTCAGTCTACTCTTCAACTCTTCATAGGGTCTAATTTTCCATCCTCTTTCCGATCTTTCCAGTAAATCTTCATAGGTCAGTCTCTCACCTTCTATATTAATTTTTTTAACAGTTAATATATCAATAGGCGATAGCCACCAGGGGGTGTTTTTTTCCAGTAGTCTTTTGTTCTTTTCTCACACCTCTAAAAGTGCTCCTCTGATGATGTGGTTTGAGAAGCCTTAATGCACCTTTTCCTTATTCTGCCAAAGATAAGCATGCCATCCAAATCTTAAATCGAAGCCCTCTAGGTCTAACAGATCTGTGTTTTTTAAGGTGACCCATTCTTTGAGCCAACAAAGGCACGAGGCTTCATAATACAGTCTTAGATTTGGGACCGAGAAACCTCCTCTATCTTTTCTATCCGTTAATAATTTAAATCTAATTCTTGGTCTTTTACCTTGCCATATAAATTTGGATAAGATTTTTTGCCAATTTTTAAATATTGCACTTCCTCTAATCACTGGGACATTTTGGAATAAAAATAAGAGTTTCAGTAGTATGCACATCTTAATCGCAGCCATTCTGCCTGACCAGGAGAGTTTAATCCTGTTCCAAATATCTAGTTCCTTTTGTATTTCCTTCCAGGTATTAGTGTAGTTATCAGCCATTAAATTTATACTTTTCATCGTCAGCCATACTCCTAGATATTTTATCTTTTTTACTTCTTTAATTCCCGGTTGATGTTCTAACTGTCTCCTTAGATCTTCTCCCATGTTCTTAACCATCATTTTAGTTTTGTTTCTATTTAACTTAAAGCCCGCCACTTTCCCAAATTCCTCTAGAAGTGTCAGAACTTTGTCCATGCTCTGTATGGGATCCTCAACTGAAATTACCAGGTCGTCTGCGTATGCTTTCAGTTTAAATTCTTTTACCCCAATTCTGATTCCTCTTATCTCTGATGTATCTCTTATCTTGTTTGCAATTACTTCTAATATCATTATAAATAGGAGTGGTGACAAAGGGCAGCCTTGTCTCGTGCCCTTGGAAATTTCGAATGTGTCAGATAGGTTATTATTAATGATCAGTTTAGCTCTTTGCTTTGAATAAATTGCTTTGATTCCTTCCAAAAAAGCACCTTCAATTCCTGCAGTCTCCATACACTTTAATAAGAAACTCCAAGATACGTTATCAAATGCTTTTTCAGCATCAATGAAAATTAATGCTGCCGGGATTTCATTCTTCTTTTCCAGATATTCGATGATGTTTATTATATGCCTAACATTGTCTTTTAGATATCTATTGGGAAGGAATCCAGCTTGATCCGTGTTTATTGACCTTTTTAGATAACTTTTAAATCTATTCGCCATTATCTCAGCAAAAATTTTATAGTCGTTGTTAAGAAGTGATATCGGTCTGTAATTTTTTACATTTAATTTGTCTGAGTCCGCTTTAGGTATCAGTGTTATGTGAGCATCCTTCCAGGAATCTGGGATCTTCCCTCCTTGTAGAATATTATTCATTACCTCGCATAGTACTGGGGCTAAGTCTTCCTCGAGGACTTTATAATATTTGGCCGATAGACCATCTGGGCCCGGTGCCTTCCCTAATTTCATTTTCTTTATTGCTTCCTGAACTTCCTCTACTGTTATGCATTTATTCAATTGTGTTTTCTCTTCCTCCGTTATAGTTGTTATTCTGCTATTTTCTAAATATTTTCCTATTTCTATTGTGTCTTCCTCTTCTTTCTGATAAAGTTTTTTGAAAAAAGTTAGAAAATTTTTCTTTATTTCATTTGGATCTTTTACAAACCTTTCTTCAACTTTTATTTTGTTAATCACATTTTGTTTTTTCCTTTTTCGTAGTTGCCAGGCCAGGAATTTCCCCGTTTTATTTGCTGATTCAAAGAGTTTTTGCCTCATTAATTTAATTCTCCATTCAACTTCTTGATTAATTAGCATTGAGTATTGTGATTGTAGAAATTTGGATGTTTGAATTATCTGCTCATCATTAGGGTTTATTATTAATTTTTTCTCATATTCTCTTAGTTTGATCAGAATTTCATCTTTCTTTTGTTCTCTTATCTTTTTTCTATAACTATTTTGTTGGATTAGAAAACCTCTTAGCACCGCCTTACTAGCGTCCCATACTATGTCGATATTTGTTTCTTTATTAAGGTTTAAGTCAAAAAAATCTTTTAAAGTTTTTTTTGCTTTCTGATTAGTCTCCTTTCTAAATTAAAACATGCTCTGAGATTGCAGAAAAGATAATGTTTTTTATTCACCCTGATTATGTGAATTTATTTCTTACAATTTTGACTTTCCCTTTAGGGATGGGGGTGAAATTTGATTCCGTTTGCATAAAAGCATGGCTTGGTTTACGCTTGGTTTAAGTGAACTGAAATGCAGCCTACTTCAAAATCAACACTGCTCTGAATCTTACAGTGCAGTTCTTCAGCAAAGTAATGTGTAAAAAAACGCATATACTAGGATAGTGAGCATATAAATGTATATATTAGTGGGGGGTGGGAAATGTCAGAAAAGTGCACATTAGGCAAAATTACACTTATTTATTAAGAGAAATTAGCACTAAGATGCTGATGGAATTTCATGTGAACTTTTTTTAAAAAAAGAAATTTGCAAACTAGTGAGGAAATGTGGAGAACCAAACTTAAGGTTGAGAAAATGAGAAACAGCGGCAAATTTAACTATTATTTAACTCAAATTCCACTTAGAACTCCCACCAGTTCAAAAAAATTTAAAGGGAGGAAGGATCTTTAAGCAGAGCTCCATAGGGACAGGTTTCTGTGGGCTCAGTGGGGAAGTTGAGAAAGATGGATCCCAGAATCCCCTTTATAGGGTCCAGGGGGATCCAAATCGAAAGTTAGTTCAGGCAAAACCAGAGAAAAGGCTTTGAGAATAAAACACTGATGTCTTAACCTTACAAGGAACTAATCTAAAACACAAGAAATTTCATTTTTCCTGCTTCCATTCTGTTCCATGGCTCTGCAAAAAGAAGACCCTGTTTCCCCAGCACATTTGGGTGGTGGTGGTTTGTGCATAAAGATCCTCAGCAACCCAGATTTGATATGCATGAATCTACTCCACACTTACTTCCTCATAATCTCAAAATGTTTGCGAAGAATTGCTGCTTTACTGTCTGCTGTTTTAGAAGGATACCTGAGATGTCCTTTTTTTAACCCACCCACCTCTTCAATGTCAATGTGGGATTACTAATTAAGGTACAGAACTGCACACAAGGATTTCTTCATGCTCACCTGTCATGCTGGGATGGCCAGGATGCAATTTGTTACAAATAATCTTTCATCTTTCTATTGCCATCAACAGAGCCAGGGTGACCCCAACTCTGTCTATAATGCAGAGAACCTGGCCCAGTGTATACTTGACCTCTTTATAGCAGGGACAGAGACAACCGCTACTACTCTGCAGTGGGTACTGCTCCTCATGGCAACTCATCCAGATATCCAAGGTGAGTCCTGTGTGATGCCTTTCATGCAGCAATGTTTTGGTTAAGGGTTTGAGGCCTTATGAAATATGAAGAAAAATGACAAGATTCTATCTACTTTCAACCATCTGTATGGAGAAACAGCTGAGTTAAGAATCTTAACAGTGAACCAACAGGCCATGTTTAATGTACAAACAAGAGGGATAGCTCAGATTTCCTTTTTGCCAGGTCCCCTGCAATTTGCCCTGGTTCTGGAGTTTCCAGACTGAAATATATTCGGAGTCCTGCAGTGATTTCATGCTCTTTATTGCAGCTCGTAAAACAGTGACCGAGTTTCCCCCCAAACCTCAGGCTTTTATATACATTATTGACACAATGAGTCCCGTCTGATTGGCTGATTCTGCTTCCCTCCTGGAGCCTGATTGGTCTTCTCCTGCAGGCCAATCAGTTGTTGCATTCTAGGATCCTACTTGCCTATTGTTCTAGGATCCAAGCTTAGTACATAACACAGACAGACCTGCTCCTATGCCCATTGATTTGGGATAATGGGAAAAAAATTCTCTCCACTTTACTCAGGATAGGTAAACTAAGATCCACTCTTCTATTTTCCTCACTCAAGCTCTCTCTCTCCCCACTTCAACCCCACACCCCATAGCAGAATCTCCCTCTAGTTTCCAACTTCCGTTCCTATTTCTGACTAAAGGTATGGTGAAAATGAGAAGTTTCCAATTTCTCCAAGCTTTGGACTGTATGTAAAAAAAAAACCTGTTTTATCTATAGTTCTGTAAAAGTGGAATCCAACTGCATCTACAGGGAACTGATGTCCATAGGAACACAACTATATTTTGAAGCGTATTTCAGCACCGCTGAGTTTCCTTTAAGATGCCTGGATTTTCCACTTCACCCCGTAGCTCAATTGCCTTTCAGGTTTCTTTAACGTAATTGTTAGAAGCAATACAAAAAAGAGAGCACAATTTCAGGCAATATTAGCAAAGCGTCCAGAATAAAGCTTCCATTCCCACCATTTTCATCAGAGAAAGTCCACAAGGAGGTGGAAGGTGTTTTGGGTTCCTCTCGGTCAGTCTGCTATCAAGATTGGAAGAAAATGCCATTCACCAGTGCTGTGATTCACGAGATCCAACGCTTAAAATATGCCTCCTTATTCAAGATCATCAGGCAATGTGCAAAGGATGTGAACATCTTTGGATTTCTCATGCCCAGGGTAAGGAAAATTGATACGGTTGTACTCCATATTCCATGAGTAAGGAGCAATGCAGAAGCTTCTGTGTAGCGCATAGACTGAAGGGCAAGCAATTCAATATCCCTTCCCCTGAAAAAGGTATTGCAGTGACCCAGGGTTAATATTCTTTTTAAAATAACTCTCCCCTCGCCCTGCCCCATATTCTTCAAAAGAAAAACTGCATGAACAGTGCCTTAACACCAAACTCTCTTCATTTGGTTCCACTGATGGCGATAGCATCTGTGCCAGATTCAAGAATGAGGATTTGAAACAGAACAGCGAATAATGTGTTTTCAGTTTATTCTTGCTGAAATATTTTCCATAGTGGTTTCACTACAGGACTCTTCTTCCCTAGCTTTTTGGCAGTCTCCCTGAATATGCTTTTTATTACCACGCAGATGAAGCTTGGGTATATAAAAAGCGCACAAAGATTTGTACTGGGACAGAGGGACAACCTGAATAGTGCTGGCCTGGATGCATTCTAAGTCAATTTTCATTCATTTCAGGGAACTTTTATTAACCCAGATCTGAACTCTGCTGTTCTTGATAATAAGCAATGGAAGACCCCTGAAGAATTCAACCCAAATCATTTTTTGGACAAGGATGGGAATTTTGTGGCCAGGGGAGAATTTCTGCTATTTGGTTCAGGTAAATGTAGCAGTGATTTATTATTATTATTTTTATAGTTGCTGGGTTGTTTCAGAGAGGCAGATGCTTCTGTAAGGTTTTTATTTCCAAAGAATACATGATTATTTGCTGCTCATAGCGTTGGGGTCATGCTGCTCATGATCGTTGGGCACTGAATTACTCTTATGAGTCTTTACTCATAGTACTTTCAGGCCTCAAGTCTACCAGCTTATCAATATAGATTTGCTTTCACATTTCTATACACTAGGGGTTCGTTAGTTACTGGTGGATAGCTCAGTCTGTAGATCATGATATTCTTAATCTTAGGGCCATTTGTTTGAGCCACGTGTTGGGCAAAAGATTCCTGCATTGCATGAAGGTTGGATTAGACGATCCTTGTGGTCCCTTCCAACTCTATGATTCTATGAGTTTGTGAGCCAAAGCAAGCCTCCCCCCCCCCATGGCAGCCCAAAGTTGAAAAAGGAGGTGTGGAGATAGCAGGAGTTATAACAAGGGGAGCTGCTGATGTAAGACTTTGGGTAGTGGCAAAGGAGCTTCACCTCCCAACCTGTGTTGCCTACCCAGAGTCAAAACTAGTTGTTGTCTATGGTAGATGTACCTGGAGAATAAGGCTCCATAGGTAATACTCATTTCTTGCCTTTCCTTTCTTTCTTCCACAGTGGATTCTGTGTGCTTGGAGGAGCAGCTTGCAAGAATTGAGCTCTTCATTTTCTTCAGCAATTTGTTGGGGGCGTTCATCTTCCAGCTGCCAAGTGGTGTGAAAAAATCCAGTGAACAGCACAAAGTGGGACTGACAACCTATCCCCATTCTTATAAACTCGTTGCCATTCCTCGCAGCAGGGCATCATAAACTATCAACACAGTTTGAGCAGCCTATTTATTACCATAAATTTCTCGGTTCTGCTCTGAGGTGGAACTTCTATCAAAAGTTGCATTAGACCTACGATATAATACATTGCTAAATCAATTTCTGTTGCCGAATACAGTTCTTCTTCTTTGTTTGCTGTTCATACACAAGTACTCAGTACAGATTTCTTGTGATGTTTAAAACCAGATGTTTATCAGTTTGTGCTTTTCAAAGAACATAAGGAATGCTTATTTATTGAAGTTGCTGCTATGGTTTATTTTATCAGCTCGTAGGAGATTGCATATGCTCTCTTAGGTGATGAATTACATCCTAAAAGATATCAGTAGTAGAGTTTGCAGGCCAAAGCCCTGTGACCCCATTGTTGCAGTAGCAACAAATAACTGGACGGGACAATAAGTATATATCGGGATCAAACAGGACACAACTTTGTTGATTATCGATGTGAATGGTTTGGCATCAGAATCGAGCACGTTGCCTCCAAAAGGGGTAGTAGTGACTAGGCAGTAGTTCTTGTAGACCCCCTTTTTAAGGAGTAGTCACACCATTACCTTTCTTGTCTAATGGTGCATTAACCACACTCTCAGCCACCCAGCCAACCCCTGTTGGCTAGCCAGAATAAGCCATGATGGGCAAGGGTCAACAGAGCATGGAGTTGGCTGAACTGCTGCAAGAGTCTTGTCCACATCCTCGGGCCATTAAAGCTAAAACCATTTCCATGAAACTGGGTAATATGGTGCACTGCACAGTTCATCAGATCTGTCACAACAGCAACATTATGCCTGTTCTGCCCCCCACAAGGGTCAGATATTAATCTGTGTATTAGTATTAGGTAGAAGGAATAACAACACTGCCCCTTTTAGAAAAGATAGTGCCTTTCCCCACTTTTTAAACCTCAAGGCAGGTTGAGAAATGTAGGCATAGCAATATCCTAGTTCCTATTGGGTCTGCCTCTCAGAGCAGTAAAATACCTCCCTTCTTCCTTTGTTTCAGTCTAGTGCAGGCATGTCCAAAGTCTGGCCTGGTGGCTTAATCCAGCCCGCTGGTCGGTTTAATCCAGCCCCTGTGGCAGTTAATTTCCTGGGGGGATGTCGTAAAAGAAGGTCAACAACTTCAATCCTAAAAAAGTTCAAGAACTTTGGTGTAAAATCCCAAGAAAAATCTCTTCAATCCTAAAAAAAGCTCAGCAACTTTGGTCAGCCCTCATGCATGTTCACTTCATCAAATCTGGCCCCCTTTGGAAAAAATTTGGACACCCCTGGTCTACTGCTTGCATACCTAGAAAGAAGGGTGAACTCATTTGTTCTTACATAACCCCATGAACTCCAAAGAGAACTTATTCCTATTGGAATATGATTAATATTTCTATTTGTGCCTTGATTCTCTTCAATAAATCTATGAATGAGAGCTTTGTGGACTTTTGCTGAATACTATCCAGATTGAGAGAGAAGTCTCAGGACGGAATAATGGCGACCCAAGCTTACGTATCCCAAGTGTGAAGAGTTGTGCTCATGTCCTGCTTGTGGGCGCCCCCTAGACATCTGGTTGGTCTGATCCAGTGGGGCTCTTCTTATCTTCCTATTTTGCTTTAGTTAGCAAATGTGTCTGGGTGATGTGAGAGTGAAACCTACGTTTCGTTAATGCTCCAGTGTTGCATCATTTTTCTTGCTCCGCTTCCAACTGATACATCTGAGGAGGTGTTAGTAGTCACAGCAATAGAATGACTTGTTCACACCCATTTTATCTATGTTCTAGATCTCCATGAGTAGAGAGATTATTATTAGTCCTCGCAACAGAATGGGCTGTAGACGCCTGTTTTATCTACGTTTTGGATCTCCGTGACTAGGATGTTACATCTCTTCTCACCAAAATTGTCACTGTCGCCAGCTGAGGGAACTTAATAGTAGCCTGAACACTTTACCTTCTTCTTTGGTGACTAATGTCTCCCCTGCTCATTGTTTCTTGCTTAGAAAAACTTTCCTACAAAACTAAATTTCAATCTCTCTAGGGAGGAAAAATTATCATAGAAAATGTATTATCCCCTACCTTCTGCTATATGATAAGTAGACATGGTTATTTAGCAAAGGCTAAATAAATAAATGATATATTTTTTTAAAGCACAAAAATGGATTTTTCTTTGAATTGGATAAAAGTTCATGCTTATACAGAAACTGCAAAAGAAGCAAGCGCAGGGTGGACATATGCCCTTACTTTACAGTCCTCTGAAGGGCTCTCCAAACCAAATCCAGTTAACATCATCAACAACAACAACTTATTATTTATACCCCGCCCATCTGGCTGGGTTTCCCCAGCCACTTTGAGGGCGGCTCCCAACAAAGTATTAAAAACACAATAAAACATTAACAACTTCCCTAAACAGATAAAGATAACCTGAGGAACTGAGGGCAGGGAGCTGAAGTTGCTCATCAGCAACTAGCACGTGACAGCAGACTAAATTTCTCCTCCAACACTACTCTCACAACAACCTTGCAAAATAGGTTATCATCATCATAAACTTTATTGCCCTAGCCAAAGGCCATGGCATCATTCACAAAGGGAACAAATAAAAAAGCAATATAAACCATAAAAACATCAGGCACTGCAGATACAATAAACCACGATCACGTCTCCTAAAAATTATTTGTTGCATACGATAGAATAGCAAGGGGTTCTCAGGTAGGAAGTGCCAGCTTAAATATCCAAATCACTTTGCAATTGACCGCTATTTTACAAAATAGGTTATGCTGAGAGTGTCTGCTCTAAAGTCACCCAGTGATCTTTCATGGTTGAGGGCTCATCCACACTTAGCTTTTGCCCTGTGCTTTCTAGACATAGGTCGGGGCTTTAAACTCTGCCAGTGGCACTTTCACCATGGAAACGCGCTCTTAAATGCTTCATCTGATCACTACACCAAACTGGTATTTTACTCTAACTGGGTTGCCAGCTGGGGCTCACCCAGACTTCAATCAAGTTTCCTGCCTATTAGAACTCTTCAGGCCTTCCTCTTTCTCCTCCTGCACACTCCCAGTTCTGCATCTAAGCAGTTTACCCTGTCCCCACCTTTGGCATGCCCCAAGATGAGTTTCCTACATGTTCAAGCCAAGATGCAAATCTCAGTACCAAAGCTGCATTACCCCAAAGGCCTTGCTCATTCTTTCCCTTGTGCCACTGCAGCTTGAAGGAATGTGCCTTTGGGGTGAATGTATGATGCTAAGAAGTTTATAATTTTCATTTATATACATCATATTTTGCCAAGTTTAAACATTTTCAATTCCGACTCCCTCCCCCTCTGCAGTTCCTTTCATTTATTTTGGTCCATTCCTGCATGCACCAAATTGTCTTAACTTATTCTTTTATATGTCTATTTTAGTATATATCTCATATATATTTTAAAAGCTGCAGGTTTTTAAAATAGTCCTGTCGATGTCTTGATCTGTTTACAGTTTGTTTATAAATATTCAATAAACAACTACCATTCCTTTCTAAAAAAATTGTTGTCTTGATTTCTTATTCTTCCTGTAAGTTTCACGATTTCTGTATGCGCCATTCTTTTCTGTATCAAATTTTCTTTCATCAGGACCTCTTCATCCTTCTGCTTTGGAGCAAATAACATTCTTGCAACTGTAGTCGCATGCATAAATCAATTTCTATACTGCTTGGGTAGTTCTAATCCTCTAATTCCAAAGAGAAAAGCTTCTTTTTGTTGTTGTTGTTTCTTTATGAATGTTAACTTAAACATCTTTTTGAATTAATTATACAGCCGTTCCTTGGTTCTCAAACACCTTGGTACTCGTACATTTTGGCTCCTGAACACACACACAAAAAAATGGAAGTAAGTGTTCTGGTTTTCGAACTTTTTTTGGAAGCTGAATGTCCAATTTGGCTTCTGCTTGAGTGCAGGAAGCTCCTGCAGCCAATCGGAGGCCACACCTTGGTTTTTGAATGTTTTCAGAAGTCAAATGACTTCCAGAATGGATTACATTCGAGAACCAGTCTACAACTGTATATCATTTCCCAGTAAGCTTTAAACTTATTACAATACCATCACATGTGAAAAAGGTGCCTTCTTTCTCTTTACATTTCCAACACTTATTTGACTTTGATTTATACATTTTTTTTGCCAACCTACTAGGTGTTAGGTACCATCTATATAGCATTTTCGTATAATTTTCTTTTAAACCATAACATGCTGTAAATTTTATATCCGTATTCCATAACCATTCCCAAGCTTCCATTTCTATATTATGACCAACATCTCTTGCCCAGTACAACCAAATGCAGGTTATAGCACAAACACAAACAAACAAAAAACAGACAAGTCTCAAAAACCTATGGTTTCCTTTCACTTCCTTTCCAGAAGGTCTACTGAGCTTCTGGACAGGGTTGCCTTGCAGTGCCCTCTGGTGTCACATGTTAATAATGCATTATTAACGTTTCAAAAAGAACATCATATGGCCATATGGTTATCAGAACCATTCCTCAACTCTCTTTTTTAGTGTTAAAAACCATGAGTGTAGATCTACCCCCAGTCCATGTAAACTGAGCTGGCTGGACCAATGGTCTGATCTGGCATAAGGCCAAATACTATGTTCAGAATGCTGGGGAGTCCCCCCCTCCAACCACAATATTAGACACTCAGCTAGAATGTATACGAGAGATCAGGAAAGGTACCACCAGGGCAAAGAAGTTGCCAGCATGCTTAACAAGCGACATCAAAGTGTATGCTTTAGCTGAGATTCCTGCACTGCAGGGGGTTAATGACCCCTGGATCCCTTCCAACTCTACAATTCTATGATTCTGTGATTCAAAGAAGCTATCAGAAGAAAGAAGTCTTCCTTCAGAACATGGAAGCCCCATCCAAATGAGGAGAAGAAGAAAGGACACAAACTTTGGCAAAATAAATGCAAGCTCCACAATAAGCAATGCTAAAAGCATAAAGACCAGCAACAACATTCTTTGCACATGTAACAGGAGACAGCAAAGGATACTGCAGAAGTGGGGACTGATAAACATGAATTAAGTTGCCTGCAGGCTGAGTTAACAAGTATCCCTTAATGGTTGCCACTCTATAAAGACAGGGTGTGGGAAACTGGCTAACTCAACAGTAGCCCCCAAACCCCTTTGGTTGGTCTTAGACTGCCTCCAATGCAGTAGCACCCCCCTGTGGGCTGATGCCAGGGACTGGACTGCAGAAGAGGCTTGGGAACCGGCCCCTCCTTCTCCTCTGCTTCCCTTGGAGGAGGAGTGGGAGTGGGGGGATCAGCCCCCCTTCCCATGTAGTTTCCAGAGAAGAGGGAGACGGGATTGTTTTACAGCAGAATGCTGAGCTGCCAAGTTTTGAGATCTTAGGCTGTGGGTAGGCAAACTAAGGCCCAGGGGCTGGATCCGGTCCAATCACCTTCTAAATCCAGCTCGCAGATGGTCCAGGAATCAGCGTGTTTTTACATGGGTAGAATGTGTCCTTTTATTTAAAATGCATCTCTGGGCCTCGGTCCAGTATATCTGAAGGAGCATCTCCACCCCCATCATCCAGACACTGAGGTCCAGCACCGAGGGCCTTCTGGCGGTTCCCTCACTGCGAGAAGTGAGGTTACAGGGAACCATGCAGAGGGCCTTCTTGGTAGTGGCACCCGCCCTGTGGAATGCCCTCCCACCAGATGTCAAAGAGAACAACAACTACCAGACTTTTAGAAAACATCTGAAGGCAGCCCTGTTTAGGGAAGCTTTTAATGTTTGATGCATTACTGTATTTTAATATTTTGTTGGAAGCTGTCCAGAGTGGCTGGGGAAGCCCAGCCAGATGGGCGGGGTATAAATAATGTATTATTATTATTATTATTATTATTATTATTATTATTTGTGGGGCATAGAAATTCATTCATTCCCCCCCCAAAAAAATATATATATTCCGGTCCCCCACAAGGTCTGAGGGACAGTGGAATGGCCCCTTGCTGAAAAAGTTTGCTGACCCTGTCTTAGGCAAAGGAGGGGGAGTTGGAGAACTGCCAACAGAGAGTTCCTTGGACTGCATAGAAGCTTGCACTCGTCGCTGACTCAGAATTCAAGAGCTAAGGTTCCAAGGACAATGGACTCCTGAAGCCTCCTATAGAGCCACAGGCTGTTGCTGGGGAAGGAAGGGGAGGGCTCAGAGTGAGCAACGTCACTATGGAGTTAAGACGGAGCTGTTTGTCTAGCTCTACAATTGCTGAATAAAACGCCCACAAAATACGAACCTTCTTGTTTCTTCTTTGATCCTTGATGCTGCCTGGGGAGGAGAGAACCCTTTGAGTCTGACAGGTGATCACATCTCCAAAAAGCAGTGCCAAAGACATCAGACTTGCAGCTTGCCATCAATTCTCTGGGGCAAAAGGTTCCATAAAATGCCAACGAGGCTGCAGTAGAAACCATAAACTCTCATAACCGGATGAACACAGTTCCTGGAATTGCTGGAGCAGGAGCAATAACCAAGTGAGTGTAATAGGTTTGCACCTGTGGCGTTTGCCTCCTAGGTGGGTCATAAGGAAAGGGTTAAATGAGTGTGATGTGATTGGCCAGAGAGAAACTGATAGGAGGGGTTAGAGTTAGAGTGGGAGTTGTGTGAAAGTCAGTTGAGAGTTGGGAGTTGAAGAAGGAGGAGGGAGAATAGTCTGTGGGTTGGTTGAGTTGTGTGGTGAGAGAATGAGAGGAATTGTTAGGTGGAGTCAGATAGATAGTTGGAATAATCAGTTTGAAGTTGTTAGGAATGCATAGGACAGTTAAGGAACTAAGATTAAGAAACTGCCAAGAAAAATTAACTGAAACCATAAGCTTGTTCATGCCTATAAATAAACTTGATTATTAGTTAATGTTAACAACTGTCTGGACTCACACAATATGCCACCCAAAAAGCAAAGAAACCCTGTGAGGGAAACAACTTATGAAAGCTCTGAAGGAGAGGAGAATGGAAATCCTCAGAGGGAAGAGCAGAGTTTAGAAAATGTAACTAATATTCAACCTGAGGCAAGAGATCCAAAATTCTCTGAAGAATTTGTAAAGTGGAAGTTAGAACAAGAATATAAATTGGAATTAGAAAATATTAGATCTGCACAAGAAATAGAAAGAATTAAAGCTGAGAGCGAAAAAATTAAGGCTGAGCAGGAGAGCAAAAGAATTAGGGCTGAGCAGGAGAGGGAAAGTGAGAGCGAAAGAATGCAATTTCAGCTGGAGATGAGGAAACTGAAATTAGCAGCTATGGAGAATCAAAATAATAGTAATAACACCAGTAGACAAACTCAAGTGAAGGTAGATTTAAAGCGTTTTCCTGAGTTTAAGGAAAAAGATAGCCCTGAGGCTTTTATTATATCATTTGAAAGAGCTTGTCAAGATTTTCAAGTGAAAGATGAAGTTAAGATGAAGATACTTAGAGCCAGGATAAGTGGGGCATTAGCTGAAATCTATGCTCAAATGGCTGAGGACGAATCCAAAAACATTGATATAACGTGTTCTCCTTCATGGAGAGCACGTGTTGCGGTGGGGGCCACCAGGACACTCCAAAGTTGTGGGGCAGGCTAATTGACCGTTGGCCACTGATGCGATTGGGCTTCCCTTGTCGTTGGGAAGAAGTTAATGTTGCCATTTGTTGACTGACAGCCAGAAATGCTAAAACTCCTTGCACGAGGCTAGGGCTTCCTCTTTTCGCCCGTGCATCGGATTGCCCGTCCCCCCTCCCTAGAATTAGGGTTGTTTGCTTGACCTTGCTATGCCTGTCATGGGGCCGTCTGCTCTTGGGGCAGGGGCCCGGTAGGATTTTGTCCATCTGGCTGATTGACCGGTGACATTTGGTTTTTGCCTACTGCGTAGCAAATCGTCACAACTTGTAAGGTTGCGGTTAGGCATTGGTTTATGATTTGGTTGGTTGAGGGGCATGGATTGGCTGTGCCTGCCCCTCTAATGCTGCTGCTGCAAGGGATTCCGTTAACGGAATCGGGGGCTAACTATTGCTTGTCCACCCTGTCAAGGGGGCTCGGGCCACTGCAAGAGCTCCTGGCTGCATTTGGGGTGGGCTGAGGGCAGGTTCCCTGCTCCGTCGCTAGCCCCAAGTGTATTCCCCTTTTCTGACTTTCGCAGGCGTGCGGAATGTCAGACTGTCCCCCATGCTGGGGGCAGCTAGTCGCAACCAATGCCTAAGCAACCACTCACATGTTTGTATTTTAATAAAGTTGTGGCCAAAATTATGCCAAAAACCTTAAACTAAAATTTTGGTGTGATGTGTGAGTTATTGGGGTGGCCCTGGGGACCTCGACATGCAAATTTAAGCAACTAATACACACCAGGTTTGGGATTACCTCAGAACAACTGAGAAAGAAATTTAGAAATGTGACTAAAGTGAGGCAGGAGACATATGCTCAGCTTGGGGCTAAAATCTCAAACTACCTCACAAAATGGTTAGAACAGGAGAGGGCAGACTCTTTCCCAAAAATCAGAGAAGTGTTTGCTCTGGAACAATTTTTTGAAACGATAAACGGCCAATTAAAATATCATATAAAGGAAAGACACTCTCAAACGCTTCAAGAAGCCGCTAACTTAGCTGACCAAATAAATGAAATAAGGGACCATAGGTTTGATGAACCAAGTTTTGGCGGGAAAGTGTGGGGGACTAACAGAAATAAATTCCAACAGTCAAAGGGAAACCCATCTTCAGAGAAAGACAAGGGAAAAGCCTCTCCTCCCTCCAAGAGGGGAGGTGTTGTGGGCGGGACGCGATTTCTGCGCCATGCAGGGGGCGTTATGCCCCCTGCCCCGCTCACCTGGCTGGCGCACCCACTCCCACAGGTAAGCGCCCAACCGGGCAGCTTGGAGGGGGCATGGATTGCAGTTTAAGTTACTGCTGCACCAGCCCTTCTGCCTCATTTTCCGCCTTCCCGTCGCGAGTCACAAAAGTTTTAATTGTAGAGCTGGAGGGGAAAAGTCTGTCAGTATTAGCCCTCAGAAAAAAATGTATTGTATCAAAGCAGCTGAGGAGAGCTAAGCTAGTCAGGATAGGCCAAAGCCTGCTGAAGTGGTGGAGGCTAAAGTGGCACATTGCTATGCTATAAAACAAGACAATCTTCTTTTGAAAAATGCCGGGGAAGATATTTGGATTGAAGGGAGGAGATTTCTAGGGTTAAAAGATACAAGTTCGCAAGTCACTATTATCCACCCAGAGATCATCTGTCCCACCAAAATAATTCCAGGGAAAGTTATGCGATTAAAAGGAATTTCAAAAAACCCTGAGGTATTACCAGTGGCAGAGATCCATGTTAAGTTCCAAGATTGGTCAGGACAGTGGCAGGTTGCTATTTCTGAGGAGGTTCCTACTGCTGTGCTGATCGGATGGGATCTCTTAGAGCATGTACAGAGTTCTTTTGGCGTTACTCGCTCCAAGGGGGGTCAACAGTCACCCGATGCTGAGGGGAATGCTACTGTTGCCAAAGGAGACAGAGCTGAGGAACAGAACTCTGAGGGGAGAAATGAAGCCCTGCTAGTTCCTTTATTAAAAAACCAAAAACATAGTTTTGCCCAAGAACAGGAAGAAGATGCTGATTTAGTTAATTGCTTTGAGGCAGCCAAATCTGACATGCCTTTAACCCCTGAAAGACCTGAGCGATTCTGTCTAAGCAATGGACCATTATATAAAGAAGTCCTTGCCATACCATCGAGAGGGGAGCAATTGTGCAATCTACAAGAAATAAAGATAGCTCCTACATTATCCTTTAACCAGCAGGTGGAGGTTAAACAGATCCTACAAGATTATAAGGAAATTTTCAGTAATACTCCAGGTAGAGCTAAGGGAGTTGTACATCATATCAACACTGGGGATGCCAAGCCCATTGCTGTAAACTCCTATAGGATAACTGGAGAATACGTGGGGAAAGTTAGCAATGAGGTAAGGGAGATGTTGAAGGCAGGGATCATAACCCCTTCGGAAAGCCCCTGGGCAGCACCCATAGTGTTATTAAACAAACCTGATGGATCTATCAGATTTTGACTGGATTATAGGAAGCTGAACCATGTCACTAAAGCAGATGCATATCCAATGCCGCGTTTAGATGACCTGATCGAAGCCATAGGCCAGTGTCATTACATCACCTGCCTAGACTTAACAAAGGGGTACTATCAAGTAAAAATGGACCCTAGGGACCAGGAGAAAACTGCGTTCAGAAGTCCCTTAGGGCTGTTTGAGTTTAAAGTAATGCCCTTTGGATTAAAGAATGCGCCAGCAACTTTTCAACGATTGGTGGGTGAACAAAATTCTGAACGGATTAAGAGAGTTCACAGTTGCTTATTTAGACGATATTGCTGTGTACAGTCCAACTTGGGATAAACACAAAGAGACTTAGGGATAGTGCTACAGCGAATTAAAGAGGCGGGCTTAACCATCAAAGCTAGCAAATGCCAGATAGGGGGCTCGTTCAATACCTGGGACACATGGTGGGAGGAGGAGTGATGAAACCTTCAGAGACAAAGATAGAAGCCATTTCAAACTGGCCTACCCCTACCTCCAAGAAGAAAGTCAGAGCTTTCCTAGGCCTAGCCGGTTATTATCGAAAATCTATTCCAAATTTTAGTGAGTTAGCAGCGCCTTTATCTGACCTAACTCAGAAGAAGGAGCCAGATAAGGTCAAATAGACAGCAACGTGCCAGCAGGCCTTTGATGCCTTAAAAAGCGCCTTGACATCAGATCCAGTCCTTGTTGCTCCTAATTATGATCGTGAGTTCACCGTCTTCACTGATGCATCCAATGCCGGGATCGGGGCCGTGCTGTGCCAACAAGGAGAGAAGGACGACCTGCATCCCATCACCTTCATAAGCAAGAAATTACTTCCAAGGGAAAGACATTTTTCGACCATTGAGAAAGAATGCCTTGCCATCGTGTGGGCATTACAGAAACTGAAGCCGTACATCTGGGGCCGAACTTTTATCTTATGTACTGACCATTCACACTTGCTGTGGCTGAGAACAATGAAGAATAACAATGGCTGAGAACAATGAAGAGGTAAGTTGATGAGATGGGCCCTATCACTGCAAGACTTTAATTTTACAATAAAAAATGTGAAAGGGACCCTGAACACCGTTGGAACTTCTGGGTTTACACCTGCTTTACATTCTACTTTTGCATGAAGCAATGATGAAATTTCTAAATTATAAAAGGCAATAGAAAGTGAAAATCTCCAGGAAGGTGAGATCCTTGGTTATACTGCTCCCCAGCCAATACAGTGGGACCTTGGTTCTCAAACGCCTTGGTTTTCAAACTCCGAAAACCGGAAGTGTTCCAGTTTTCAAATGATTTTTTGGAAGCCGAACGTTTGATATGGTTATCGACTATTCCGGGGCACCTTGGTTTTCGAACATTTCGGAAGTCAAACGGATTTCTGGAATTGATTAAGTTTGGTGCTTTTGTTTTTGCTATTTATTTTGCATTATTATTGGGGCTTTCAGACTGACTGTTCCTGTTCTTTGGAACAGCATTCTGAATATGGCAAGCACCCACTCACTGTACTTTCCAGAAAAAAACGAATACACTTTTTTAAACCCATATTTAGGGTCAGTCCCCACTCTCTCAGATGAGCCCCCTCCAAAGAGAGAGAGAGAGAGAGAGAACCAAAAAAGAATCAGAAAGAGAGAACGTACACATGCACACTTTGCTTTTCCTAAGGGTTGGGGTAAAAGTTGAGCAGTACATATTGAGCAGAAAGAGGAAGTAGGAAAGACTATCACCCTTTCAAATTTCTCCTTCAGTTCTGTGCACTATTCAAGGGAGAACAGAGACCAAGGAGGCAGCAAGAGGGGGGAGGGGCTGAAGGGCTCAGGCTTCTCACTGCACCCATGGACAACGCTGGACTTCCAGGATCAGACACTTCATGCTTTTCTGCACCCAGTACTGGGGAGCAATAGTGGGTGAGGTCTATAGTCCTGCCTGAGAGCTTCCCATGGGCATTTGCACTAGAGAGGATTTTGGTGTGATCTGGCAAGGCTTTTCTCATATTCATTTTTATTACATGAACGGTTGGTACAAAATCATTTCCCAAATATTTGTGCCATAAAATCGGTCTTAAGATAGCCTGGATTCTAACTGCAATTCATATAAATCAGGCATGTCCAGACAGTAGATCCCCTGCTGAACCTGGTCGATCGCGGGATGAATCAAAGTGGGCAATGAATGTCTGTATCCCCCCCACAAAGCCTGGTCAATCCACCCTCCAAAAATCTCAACAACTCTGGGCAATCCTCCCCTTCCACCCACCCATCCCACACGTGCACCTCCTCTCTCCAATGACAATGGGTAGATCACTGCTAGTTCTTTTATACTGGGAGTAGATCACAGTCCCTTGGAAGTTCAATGTGTCTAATATAAATCACACATCCTCTCATTTGCGTGACACATATTAGAATGATTATAGTGTTTGATTGTATTCCAAGACTTGCAACCAAATTCCAAGGCTACTTGCACATGGTATCACACCCCTTGTTGCTTATTTGTTTTCAATAACTGAGCATATATAAGCAGAGAGTACTGCTGATGTCTCTGAGGAAAGCAAAAAGCCCTTAGAGAAAGAGAGTTGAACCTGACCAGGCAACCTAGAAAGAATTAAGGAGAAAGAGACAGCAAGAGAAGGATGGAGATATGGTCACTTTTGATTGCTCTGCTAGTGGCTCTTCTGATTCTGAACTTCAAGAAACTGCTGTGGTCAAACAGGCATGACCCTCCAGGCCCTCTTAAGCTTCCTCTCATTGGAACCTTGTGGATCCTTGGATTGAAGATTCATGAAGATACTCTCATTAAGGTACTTACATCTTAGTGATAATTCAGTCTGATGCCAGCAATTGTTTTATCTATTTCCCCCAACAATTGTGATATTTCAGTTTCAACAATAGCATGGGTTAAATTGGTAAATACCATAAGCCTCCATTGTCAGAAGCTGTAAGCAATACAAATAATAGTAATAATGTAAAATAGTATTATTATTAATATTGAAAAGCACAAAACCATACACAAGTTGAAAATACGCATTAAAAATTACAGATCAAAAATATTTATTGTATCTGTTAAACTGAGGAAGGAGGAGAAAACACCCTCAAAAGAAGAATGGTTTATGAAAATCTTGGAATATGCAGAGATGGCAAAAATTGAAAAAAGATACAAATTTAGAATCTTTTAAAGAAGATTGGAAAACCTTTCCAGTCTACAGTGGTACTTCAGGTTAAGTACTTAATTGGTTCTGGAAGTCTGTTTTTAACCTGAAGCATTCTTAACCTGAAGCACACTTTCCCATTGAAAGTAATGGCAAAGTGGATTGATCCGTTCCAGAAGATGATAAACACCCCCTAAAACAGCAATTTAACACGAATTTTACTGTCTAACGAGACCATTGATCCACAAAATGAAGGCAATAATCAATATACTGTATTATAAAATAAATAGATAGTATTGTAGATGAAAAAATTAACTTTTATGTTTTTCTTACATGCTGATGATTGTTTGGATGGGGGGGGGCTTTTATCCATTTCTGCAGTCACACAGTCAACCAGTAGCTGAATCCCAAACCCCACACGATCCCCAAACAAGAAGCTGAACCCCAAACCCCACACGATCCCCAAAACAATGGCAGAAGACAGAGTCCCTCAGAAGTCCCCCAAACGAAGGAGCAAAGCAGAGGCAAAGGCACAGCGCGCGCACACATAAACAAATCCCAAAATCCCTTGCAGAATCCCAAAATTTTCCACTCTGGGCAGTTTCGTCTTTGGATCAGACTGGGCAGTTTCATCTTTGTAGTTTCTAATAGGTAATCTTAGGATGTTAATCTTAGGGCCAGGAAACAGATCTCACATGAAGGTGATAGTGATTGTTGTCCTCCTGGCCATCCTCCTTATCATGTGTACTGATTGTTTATGACCTCCGGGGTTGCTGTATTCGCTCCTTTGTAGTATTCATTCATTTACCCCAAAAGTATGCATGGATAACTAGTGTTTATAGTTTAACTTTGTCCCCACTTGAGGTTTGTTTGAAATGCTCAGAAGAAACCTGATTGGTTCTTGCGAACCCTCTGTAAAAAGCTTTTTGTGAATAAAAGCGGCCTGGGCCAGGGGCTGCACATCAGACAAGCACAGAGAGACACAATTATACGCACCCTTCCCAGAGTCTTGCTGGTTCAAGTCTCTGTGTGTATTGCTATTACCCAGAGTTCAATCCTTCCTTTACTTTGCAAACGCAACATAGTGGTGCCCCGTGTGAGGCTGACTTAAAAGGGAAACCATGTGAGGCTACCTAAAGGAAACGTGTGAGGCAAAGCTAAAAGGGAACTGTGTGAGGCTTGTAAGAAAACCTCAGCAGTTGAGGCACAGCTAAAAGGAAACCTCAACAAAAGGA